GTATAAATAAAGGCAGGCAAGCAGGCAGGCCGGCCACCACAAGCCCTGTTTTAAAAACAGAATTTATGTTGGCTAAATAAATAGAATCATCTGTAGCTCTGTAAAATCATCTGATTTCCTTAATAAATAACTTACCATATATTGTGTCTAGTTAAATAAAAATAGTTTCCTTGTAGGGTTACATGGGAATCTATTAAACCGTTGTCTATAAAGAACCTTACTTACATGTTTTCTATTCTGTGTTCCTTGTTTCCTAACTTTTTTTTAAAACTCTTGCCTGTTATGAGGTCCAAGGCTCCTCCACTAATAATTTTTCCTCCCATAAACTGAATTGTTTGTTTGTTCAAACCAGAAAGTTGCTCTGAATCCAGGCAGTTGGAAGAACACGATTGCTGGGCGTAGCCAAACTCCCCTTCACAAAAATACACTTTGCTCTGGAAACTTTTAAAGTCCTTTTAACTTTAAAATCGAGACGTCCTGCAAGTGCTGCTAAATAACTTCTACTCAGTATTTCCAGAGCCAAGAGAAGGACTGATTCCTCGGATCTTCACACAACCTTAGTATACAGCAAGGTTATTACATGAAAAAAGGGAGAGGCGGTGTGATGTAGTGGGGAAGGTGCTGGACTAGGAGGAAGGAGAACCTGGCTCTGGTCCCAGCTGTGCATAGAAGGTTCCTGGCGGACTTTGGGGTGGTCCCCTCTCAGCCCCCAAACAGTGTCAGGCTCTGTGACAATCCAGCTGAAAACCAACCCAATGTTGCCTAAGTTGGTGTATCTCAACCTTAGCAACTTGGAGATGTGTGGACTTCAACTCCCAGAATTCCCCAGCCAACTCTGGGAGTTGAAGTCCATGCATCTTCAAGTTGCCAAGGTTGAGAAACACTGCCCTGATGCATTGATCTGCTATGTGATCAATAAAAGCAGAACAGAAATAGATGAAGCATGCTGCAAATGGGGTAAAATTTCCCGTCTGAAACATCTGGCAGAGAAGTCGTGAGAATACTGCTCATGAAAACAAAAACATCTAAAAAGAGGGGGAATGCCAAAATCACTATGTCTTTTTAAAACCAGGTTAAGCCCATTTTGATCTTGGGCATTTCAAAACTCCTTGAAAAAAAATTCCCACCACACACTAGACAAGGGAAGGGTTTGGGCACTGAGGGAGTTGTATGAACTCGGCTCATAAATTCAAGGCCCTGTGCCAACCCAGAGAAGGCTTAATTCACTAACCAGGTTAAGCCCATTAGGCCAAGCCAGCATTGCTGGAGTCACAGGCAGTTTTGGGCAGAAAACTCAGTGTGAAAAAAAAAATGATGGATTGATTACATGCCATCAAGTTGTTTTCCACTCCTAGCGACCAGATAGATAGATAGATAGATAGATGGATGGATGGATAGATAGATAGACAGACAGCTAGATAGATAGATAGATTAAATAAATAAATAAATAAATAAATAAATAAATAAATAAATAAATAAATAAATAAAT